CCAGGGCACGCTGCTGGCTCCTGGTCACCCTGTCGTCCCCCAGCACTCCCAGTCCCTCTCCGCAGAGCTGCTCTCCAGCAGCTCAGCCCCAGCCTGTCCTGGTGCCTGGGGTTGTTGGCCAGTGGGAAGGGCCACAGCTCACCAGAGAGGTGCTGGAGAGGTGGGGGGCATCGCCCGGACACACGCACCCCTCTGCACCCGAGGCTGCACCCATGGCCCCTGCGAACCCAGAGCTGACCACTTTGGGCACCTCTCCTCTCGCCTCCTAGGGACAGGGCACGTGCTCCTGCCTCTGCTGTCCTCCTTGCTCACCCACCAGCCCTGCAAACCCCACCATCCTCCCGGCTCACCTTAGAATCATAGAATCATCAAGGTTGGAGAAGACCTCTAAGATCATCAAGGTTGGAGAAGACCTCTAAGACCATCAGGTTCAACCGCCAACCCAACCCCACCACGCCTGTTCAACCATGTCCCCAAGGGCCACATCCACACGGTGTTTGAACCCCTCCAGGGATGGGGACTCCCCCACTGCCCTGGGCAGCCTGGGTCAAGGCCTGCCCAATACCTTCCAGCTGTGCAAACCCCAGGGCTGGGAGGACATCTGCCCCAGGAGCTCAGCTTCACACAGCCCCGCTGTGGGGCTGCCAAGGGCTTGGTGTCCCCTGGACATTGTGTGTGTGGGTGGGGGTGACCTTGTCTCTCCATGTGGTCCTCCATCCAAGCATGGAAGGGGCTTCAGGGCACCATCCCAGCAGTGCAGGTGGCCCCAACCACACCCCAGGGCCTGTGTCACTCCAGCAGCCATGAGCTGGATGTGCAGGACTCTGCGGAGGCTGGCTGGGACACCAGCTCTTCTACTGCCCACCACCTCTTCTACTGCCCCCCACCTCTTCTACTGCCCCCCATCTCTTCTACTGCCCACCACCTCTTCTACTGCCCACCATCTCTTCTACTGCCCACCATCTCTTCTACTGCCCACCATCTCTTCTACTGCCCACCACCTCTTCTACTGCCCATTGCGAAACGGGCTCACCAGCAAATCCCCATCCCTGGCCAGGCATCAGCTCCTGGGCTTGCCTGGCTCTGGTGGGCTCAGCCCTGCTCTGGTGGGCTCAGTCCTGCTCTGGTGGGCTCAGCCCTGCTCTGGTGGGCTCGGACCGGTGCAGCACGGTGGGACGCTTACGGGAAGGTCACCAGTGGCTCCTGTGAACTGTCCCGGGGGCTCAGCCCAGCAGCTCCCTGCAGCCCCACAGCGGCCGTTCTCAGGCTCAGACCATCCTCTGGTCACACCTCTCTGTTCCTCTGGTCTCACCTCTCAGTTCCCCCCCAAGATGACGTGCTCTAGGGGGACCCAGGATGCCC